TGTAGTTATTTACTTTCATTTAAACTTGCATTCCTAGTATAATTTTGATAATTTCATAGTTTGATCATCTCTTTGAATATACTTAAGTTTCGGTTAAGGTCGAGATAGGTAACGTTTGAACTAATTCAATCTCTGTGGGAACGATACTTGGACTTCAATACCCATTTTTATTACTTGAAGCCTGTGTTTGGTATAACATTAATTTGGCCAAAATAATAAAAAAATTGACTTTTTTTTTACTATTCCAGCCACCATTTTTGACTTGTGCTCTCACGCGAGGGTCCCGCCTGCAAGTCCAAACGGTCAAAATTTTTCTTCTTATTTCTTGTAAATTGTATACCAAACACAGGCTAAATATCCATGATAAGTAATAATATCATACATCACTATCATCCCTGTCAAAATACACCACCTGAAATAAACCTTCATGACACTCTAAGACACGTGACTAAAGAAGGACATACATTAACTTAGCCTATATTTGGCCCGTATTATATTCATATATTTCGAAAGATCTATAGATACTAAGATAAATGAAGCAAGTTAAGGAAAAAGAGTACGGTCAAATACAATGGGAAGCACTTAAAGCTGATAGAGTATGCATGAATTCATTCAAATGAAAATACAAAAATCTCGATTCTCACATCCATCAACCATATCACTATGTCAAAAATAACAGAGGCAATGGCTTATTTGAGCTTTTCCAAGTCAAACATGAACATCTACACCTTTCAACTATGGTAAACTCACGACCTGAACTCAATCATTGGCCGGCCCCAGCTATCTGCGTCCTTGTTTAAGTCTGGCTACGTTTGTAATGTTTCACCAGGGTTTGGAGCAACAATCTTAAAACATGATTGGGGACTGTTGATAAACGATTTGACTTATAAATAGATAAAAATAAGTGGTTAATAAATGGGTAGTACCTATAAGTCATCCCTCGAAATGTGTACATAAAAAGTGACTTGAGTGTTTATAAACATAAGCCAAACATAGGCTTACTCGATCGTAAAGGTTAAGATTACAACATATCAACAAACCCATATCTCTATATATATGCATGAAGCTATAATTTGCACAAACATCCATCCAAGAAGAATCTGGATACATGTAAAGTAGACATATCAAATTTTTTTCAGTTCAAATACAAGAGTTTCAGAGCAATATAGAGTAATAATACCCAGCCAAATATTACATACTACCAAAAAGAGAGGAGAATAGCTATCACAAAACCATTGGTAAGAAAACCATTGAAAAATCACTCTATGCATTTAGTTACAAAACTGCAAGCCAAACAACACACTGACCAAGTTTCCATCCATACAAGAAATATAAAAGAAATGCCCCTTCCCTGAAATCAAATTTTAAAATATTAGTTCTTCAAGAAACAAACCAAGAAACACATTGCACGGCTGAAACAGCTTTAAACTTCATAACGTAAACTTAATAAAATGAAATTTAAGGATCTAACAGAAGGTATATAACAATGAAACAAATTACTACAACTTATTATGATCAACGAACCTCATGTCTTGCACGGCTTTGGACAAAGGAAGTCAAAACTACAACTTAGATATCACCTCACTGTCCCTCCCCCCAAGCAAATCAAGTGAATGACAATTGACACATTTAACTCTAAATTACAGTAAACGACAGACACTAACCACATGACTTGCCAAGTTCAAAAGAATTTCCTATGAACAATTGCAGGACCAGATTCATCGTACTCGCCCTTCGAGATCCACATCTGCACCAGCAAACACATCTTGTAAATATATACATGTACATATTCATTCATACCTACATACATATATACGTAAACACACACATGTATAATATATGCAAATTGAACAAGAGGGCTTAACAAATGTTCCTTCTGTGCACATCTTTTGAAATTTATGGGTTGATTACGGGAGGAAGAGGAGGAGGCAAGTGTTAAGGGATGAGGTATTCAGAGCCTTGACAAAAGAATAAATGTCACCTGTTGGAAGGTACAGAGAGATGCGAGGATTGATCCCCCAATCCACACTACACCAAAAAAAGGCCTTTTGCAGCGGCCAA